AGGGACTTTAAGGGGAGGGGCCAGCCCTCCTCAGGCAAACTCACTACCATCCCAGGTCCCCAGCCTGGGCTTCTGGGAGAAGGAGCAGGTGTCACAGCCCTGGGTCCCTATGCCCACAGCACTCCCAGTCCTGGGCCTCCCCTCGCCGCCCCTCTTCCCCACGATCCCCCACCCGGCCCTCACCCGTGGATCTTCTGCTGCGCAGCCTTACTCTCCAGCACCAGCTTCTGGTTGGTCAGCTCCAGGTCTCGGGCTGTCAGGTCCAGCTGCTCGTACACCTTGGCGTGCTGCTCATTCACGTGCCGCAGTGTGTCCAGCTGCTTGGTCAGGTACTGGGGGTCGGCAGGGGGTGGTGGGTGAGTGACCTTTCAGAACAGGGTTCGGGAGAACGTCTCTGCCTGGGCTCTCCTCCCACTTCTAGGAACAGGTGTGCTTTGGGGGGTAGAGACAGTGCAAGAGGGCTGCCCGGATGCGCAGGGCGGGCCTCACCTCGATCTCCTGCACCTGCTCCTCGTTGGTGGCGTACATGTGCTGCAGCGACGCCTCCAGCTCCTTGTTCCTCTCCAGCAGCGTCTTCCCCAGCTCAGCGGCCAAGTGCAAGTCTGGAGGGAGGGGCGGAGGGTGGGAGAAGGGACGAGCAGTGTGAGAAAGAAGCCAGAGGACCCCCTTTCATGTGCTGAGCATTCATTCTGAGCGGGGCCTCGGGGACCCCAAGGCGACCAGGACACAGGGGCTGACTGGGGGAGCCCCCACTTGGGAGGGGATGCAGGCCGGGAGCGAAGTCTTTGCACTGGCTGTTGCTTCTGCCTGGAAGGTCCTCGCCCCACACCCCCCAGGGCTCATCCCTGGCTGCCTTCAAGTCTGCGCTTCAATGTCACCCTCTCCAGGGGACTTTCCCCAACTATTGATTTTAAACGGCACCCTCCCCTTTCCCGCACTCCCTCCCCACTTAGCTTCTTCTCCTTAGCACAGATCACCTAACGCACCAAACAGCTTGCGCACTTACCTTGTTCGCCTCTCCTGACTATCAGCTCACAGGGCAGGGGTTTTGCCTGTTCCTTCTCTGATAGCCCCAGGACCTAGATCAGTACCTGGCGCCGAGCAGGTGTATTAGTCTTGCTTGAAAGAGCAAGTGGAGAGTGTGATGAGACCCAGGGGCAAAGTGACTTGGACGATGAGGGAGAGCTCGTCTGGGGCCTGCGGGCGGCTGGCAATGGGCAGCCTCGGAGTTGGGCTGGGAGGGGCCTGGGAGCCCACTGATGGGCTGCCCGCTGTGGCGGGGCAGAGGGGCTCGCTGCGTTTTAGAGTTTGGTTGAGGCTTCAGAGCTCTTTGGCGTAACATCCTTATTCTGTGGATGACAGGCCAGAGAGGGAAGGACTTGCCCAAGGTCCCCAGCTGGGTTGCAGCCACGCTGAAAGCAGAACTCAGGTCTCCTGGTCCCAGTCGGTAGCATGTGGTCCTAGTGGCGCGAGCCCCTCTCTGAAACCTCCTTTCCCTGGGAAACAAGCCGCCCTGTTCCCCCCACAGCGCTGATCCTTGTGTCTGCAGGACTGGAACCGCCCCTCCCCATCCCAGCCCGAGGCACATGAACACCTGTCAGAGCTGGGAGGGGACCTGGCCTGGCTTTAGGGGGCTCTGTACTGTTAAGTGGAGAGGCCTATCTGATCTGTTCTGCCAAAATGCCATCCAGGACAGCTGGGTCCTTGTTGCACGATGAGCACCTTCATGGCAACAAAGAGCAACCTGTGGCTCTCGAGCCGCAGTTTGCCGACCACAGGTCTAGGCCAATGGTATAAATCCCAACCAGAGGCGTGAAGGCAGCTCTGACAGGGCCGAAGGATTTGGTCCAGGGATCGAGCTGGGTACTTTCCAGACAGTGGTGGTTCTAGGACCCCTAGAGCAGCGGTTCTCAATCTGTGGGTCGCGACCCCTTTGGCGGTCGAACGACCCTTTCACAGGGGTCGCCTAAGACCATCCTGCATATCAGATATTTACATTATGATTCATAGCAGTAGCAACATGACAGTTATGAAGTAGCAACGAAAATAATTTTATGGTTGGGTCACAACATGAGGAACTGTATTTAAAGGGCCAGAAGGTTGAGAACCACTGCTAGAGGATGGAAGGCCTCTATACTCCCTCCTGGCAAGTTTAAGAAATACAGTGGGTGCCCTGGCAGGTTTGGCTCAGTGGATAGCGCGTTGGCCTGCAGACTGGAGGGTCCCGGGTTCGATTCCGGTCAAGGGCATATGCCTGGGTTGTGGGCTCGATCCCCAGTAGGGGACATGCAGGAGGCAGCCAATCAATGATTCCCTCTCATCATTGATGTTTCTATCTCTCCCTCTCCCTTCCTCTCTGAAATTAATTTAAAATATATTAAAAATAATAATTGAAAAAAGAAATACAGTGGGTTCAGCGGGCTACTCCCTTACACCCAACAAGCCGGGGGGGGGGGTCCCCTCTCGGAGAGCCCCAGAGAGCAGTGACTCCAGGTGGGCATCTGAGGGCAGAGCCTGGGCTTTCTTCCAGCCGCTGGGGGAGGACTGACCTCCCCTGAGAAAGCCAGAGGGGACTCTGACCAGCCACCAGGCCTGGACCAAAGTCCTAGCCGTCCGTCCACTAGGAACAAACCTGGAGTCTGCTCCCACACAGAGGTGAGATTTTAAGAAAAGTTTAAAACAGGCAGCATGCAGCTCTCCAGGCTGGACCTAGGCCAGGAGGGGGTGGGGGCTGTGCCCA